CCCTCCTCCACGCCGCCCGGCGAGCTGCAGCCGACCGGCCACCCACCTGCCCACTCCAGTGGCCGCAGTGCGGGAAGATGGGGTGAAGCTGGCAGTTCCCATGTGCACCCAAGACCTCAAAACTAATCAGCCACTCAGGGATGAAATATGCTCCCTGCACACCCAGAGGGATCCTAGAGATAAATGGGGAAACTGAGGCCAGTGGCTAGGCTGAACACACTGATGTGGTGTTGACAGAACTTTCTGGATGTGGCGAGGTTGTTGACAGGGCCTGGGAGTCCTGGCTTCCAGCCCGGGGTATTGTCCACCTGTGGACAGGGAAAGGAAGTACTGTGCTTGTGTACATTCTAGAGGGCCTGAGAGGAAGCAGGGACATTGCCCAAGCCAATCAGGGAGAAGGCTTTGGGGGCACCTCCCCTCATTGCTTCACTTTATAGATAGAAAAGCCTCATGTAGAGCCCAAAGCCAGGGTCCCAGGGGAAAGAGCGAGGCCCCTGTCCCCGACTCAGTGTCCCTGTCACCAACCATTGGGCTCATTGTCTCAGAAGGAAGCTGAGCTCAGGGAAAAGATGTCCAGTGAGTCACATCGTGTATGTCCCCCCATCACCGTCTGACTCAACCGAGGTGATGAGAGGGGAGCCCTGGGCAATGTGCCACAGGGCAGAGCCTCCTAGAGAAAGGGTGAGTTAGCTGGACAGAAGCAGGGAGAGCCCTGGTGGACCAGCCAAGGGGAAATGTGACGGAGGGGGTGGGCAGGGCCAGGGGTAGATAGGGCAGGAAGAGCCAGAGGGAGCCAGGCCAGGGCAGGATTGGGCTCAGGGTAAGTCAGGGCAGCTGGAGGTGGGGAAACTGAGGCACTCGAACAAAGGTTCCGGCTTGGGTGAAAAAAGCCACAGAATGAATGAATATATATATATGTATATATATGTAGATGGCATGAGAATGTGTATTTAGTGTCTCTGCAGTACACATGTATTCCATACGTTCCATACTTCTTGGCACTTCTTTAGCCTGTGTTCCTTGTCCTTTCCCCTTCCTTTCAGACCTAATAAGCTGAATTGGAGGGGACACTGTCTGAGTCTGAAAAGTTTCTTTAAGTCAGACAATCACCAACTCAAGCCACACGAAGACTGAGGTTTGGGAAGATTTTGGAACTTTATAGGTGAATAATTTTGTCTTTCTACTGTCCTCCTCCCAGGCCTGGTTAAAAAAAAAAGAAAAGGAATGGTGGACATCTTTTGGGATTCATTCTTCAAGGACAGGGTGAGGGCAATCTCCATTACAGACTGAGAAAGAAGTTCAGGGGTTTTGTGGGGGCAGTGCTTATCAGGACAGGGACTCATTAATCATTTCTTTCCCTTCGCATTTATTCCTTCAAGGAGATTGCCTGGCCTTTAGGTAGGAAAGAGGAGTAGAGAAGCAACCAGAAACAGAGAAGGGACCTGCTGTATGTGGCGCGAGTGCATGGGGGTGGGGGGCAGTAGCCCTGATAGTGACAGGCGAGGTATAAATAGCTTGGGCTCTGCAGCTCATGTTCTGTCGGCTGCCTGTGACGAGGTGCTCAGGAATTCCACTCTCCTGTTGGCAACCCCCTCTCCTTGTCTCCAGAATACTCATTCTCCCCAAGCCACCTTCATCCCATGGCCAAAACCACCCATCAGCACCAGTGATGTCTACCTGAGATGCTGAGCTCTCCTGTGGAGAGATGCTCAGTTTAGGACACAGCTGGGCCTCGCAAAGAACTGTGTGTGTGTGTGTGTGTGTGTGTGTGTGTGTGTGTGTGTGTAAAGGTAGACATCTGACAGCCAACCTGAGGTGGCAAGAGCCTAGAGGTCCACAGTGTTGCATTGAAGCTTTGATGAGGAAACTGAGGTAGAGATATGAGAAAGAATAGAATCCCTCCCTGAGCTACTGGAGAGGTGAAGAAAGGGGCCTAGTCAAGTAGCTTGGAGCTGACAGCCTCTTCACAGACCCTGATGGCGCACAGTCCTGTCTGGTGGGGATTATCAGGGCCTCTCCAGTAGTCAAAGGCCTCTGTTGAGGTGGGAGGGCTCAGAGGGAAGCCCACAAGGGAGAAAGAACTCTGAGTGTAGCCACCCGTGCTCTCCCTCTGACTCACCGTCTCACTCCAGGAGAGATCAGTGCTGTGTCTCAGGGGAGCAGTGAATGGCCAGCAGAGCAGGGTGCAGAGTGCCAATGGATGATGGTTCCTGTCACCCCCCCTCCTGAAACTTGAGTCTATTGCTCTCCAGGATAAATCGGGGCCTGAGTCAGGCCCCAGCAGCCACTCAGCCTACCCAGGCACAGGTTGGTGACTCAGCCCTCAATATAGCCCATGAGCCCAGGCCCCAGGCCCGGCCATACAGGCTCAGAACAGACCGTGCGCAATGCCGTCCTAGGGCCTGCCAAATGGGGCCCCTCCCTGAGGAGAGCTAATGTGTTCCTCAACAAGCCAGGAGGGGCACAGAGAGGGTCTTACAGGGGGCTCATCAGCTGAGTATGTGGGGCAGCGCTGGCTGGGTCCACAGGCCTTTTATAGCCCCCTGACTCACTACCCGCTGATCTATCTCAGGAGACCAGGTTGTCTGGCTTTCACCTGAGGCTGCCTCTCCCAACAAGGGGCACTGCCTGTCAGCCAACGCTAACCATATTTAACTTGGGCTAAGCTGAATCTGCCTGAACAGGTGCAGTGGGCCATGTCTGAAAATTTTGTTTTCCTGAGACCAGGGACATTCCCACTATTACCTGGGATGATTCTGGGCCGGTCAGAATCACAGCAGGCACTTTGACAAACAGTGACAGTAACTGTGACTCTGACCTGGGTGCCAGCGGCAGTGTGGTAGAGTAGAAAGATCCACAGGCTGAATTCCAGCCACTCCACTTCTAGTTGTCACCTTGGGCAGGTAATGTAACTCTTTTGGGCCTTCATTTTTTTCACCTATAAAATGGGGTTAATAATATTCTAATAGGGATTTAAACAAAGGTACGGAGAAGAAATGCATGAAAGATGACTAGCATGGTACCTGCTGTAAAATAAGGATTAGAAGAGATGGGCGTGGTGGCGCACGCCTGTAATCGCAGCACTCAGGAGTCTGAGGCAGGAGTATCGCTGTGAATTTGAGACCAGCCTGGGCTACATAGTGAGTTCCAGGTCAGTCTCAACTACATAGTGAGACCCTGTCTCAAAAAGCCAAAAAATAAATAAAAATTAAAGTTAGTGAATGTTTCACATTTAACAAAAAGAGACCCTTTAGCATGCTTTGATAGTAATCTGGATCAATAAGACAAGGAGGCACCAATTCAAGCCATACAGAGGAAGAGATTCTAAAATGAGCAGAGAGGGACAAGTGTTCTAAGGATAGAGGTTTGCATTCTAAGCAGAAGGCTGCAGAAGGCAGGCCCACATTCTTGTCATTACCCAGGCTCTGGGTTCAGGTCCCATGATGGGACAAATTGCCTACTGGAACCTGGCCTCCATCTTGGTATCTAATTCCAAGTTGAATTCATGGTCCTTATGTCTTTGTCTGAGCTGCTTTAACAAAATATCACAAACTAGGTAGCTTATAAATGACAGAAATTTATTCTCACACCTCTGCTGCCTGTAGAGTCCAAGATCAAGGCACCTGCAGATTCCTTGTTCCGTGAGGTGCCCCTGTCCCTTCCTCCAGTTTCCCCATGACTTCTCATGGCAGGATGGGTGAGGGATCGCTCTGGAGTTTCTTTCACTTAGGGTACTAATCCCACCCATGAAGGCTGTGCCCCAACTCCTAATAGGGGAATAGGACTGCAGCATGAATCCTGGGGGACACAAACATTCAGAGCATAGCCTTCCAGTCATTCCCAATGCGTGTTTTCCAGGCAACTGGTGGAAGAGTAAAGTAGTTAAAAAGCACAGTCAGCTGGACTTTGTGATACACACCTGTCATCCCAATACTTGGGAGGCTGAGGTAGGAGGATCGCCATGAGTTTGAGGCCAGCCTGGGCTACATAGTGAATTCAAGGCCAGTCTGAACTACATAGTGAGAACTTGTCTCAAACAAACAAACAAATAAACAACAACAACAACAAAACAAATGGCAGGAAAATACTACCTGAAAAGCTAGTAACCACTAGCACTAGGTAACTTTGGAGGAATTTCTATTTTAGTTTTTGTTTTTTGAGACAGGGTCTTGTTATGTATTCTAGGCTGGCGTTGAGCTCATTATGTAGCCCAGGATGGCCTCAAACTTTCCACAATCCTCCTTTCTTAGCCTTCCAAGTGCTAGGATTACAGGCATGCATCATCAGATTTGGCTAGGAATTTCTCTAATTAGGGTACAACTAAGAACATATTACACCTTGAAATAATTGGGAGAACAGTGCTTCCCAAGTTTTACTGGGTTTACTAATCACCTGGGTATATTACAAAACAGATTGTGTCAGGAGAGCTGAGACTCCAATGAGCTCCAGGAGATGTTGACACTGCTCATCCTTGGGCCATACGGAGTAGCGACGGGGCTAGACTACCTGAAATAAGGATGATTTTCAAAGAGGAGTCACTCACAGCTGGATGTGGTAGCACAGGCCTGTGATCTGAGCACTTGGGAGGCTAAGGCAGGATTGCCACGAGCTGGAGGCTAGCTTGGGCTACATAGTGAGTTCAAGGCTAGCCTGGACTACAGAGTGAGACCCTGTCTCCAAAAAA